TTATAAAACACCTGAACTGACCGTTTCTTTTTTTCCTTTCTTTTTTCTGGCATAATGAGAGCAGTGGGCTTTAGGCTGTCCTGCAAGGTTTAAACCTGGGTTTAAATGGAAACAAAGCCATTCTCAATTAAATATCAAGGTGCTCATTTTGAGCCTGGATCTATATTTATTTTTGATTCTTTTCATGGTGGAGAATCCTGCTTCACAGCAGCAGGTTCAGCCAAACATCCTCTAAATGTGCAGGGTCAACTTAGAGAGCACCATTTCACTTTTCTGTCACCAGTTCACTGCAGTTCTTCTAGCAGTCCACACTTTCTCTGCTCTCTTTTTTTCAACATCTTCTCCTTCTTTCCCATCGCCCGGCTTGCTACAGGTTTGCCGGCTGTGTCTAAAAGTAGCAGCAGCAGCAACCCAGACTGACAGTAGCTCCTTGGCTAATTTGTATCACGTGTAGCCTGGTGCCGGACGCTCCGGAGGGCTTTACCGTATTAACAGGAGAAGCAGCCCAAGTGAAGTTAGACACTGTCGTCAGACAACATGCGGTAATTTATAAATGTTTTAAATCAGGTTGGGTCCGGATTATCCATCAGGTGGAACCGGACCGCGGCTCACTAATCTGTGACCTCTGATATATTGGGTGAATAGTTAATAACAGGCTGAAAAAAGGAGTGACTGATAGATGGAAGTCTGATCGGTTGGGTTTCTCAAACTTCTAGCCACCAACGTACTCCTCCAGAATCACAAATTAACTTACAACACACACAAACACCGTGACAGCAGCTTCTGCAGCGATCGATGATGTAATTCAAGATTCCTCTTGATGTAAAATTTGTCAACTTTATGCATAGCAAATGAAAAAAAAAGGAGTGGGATTTGTTTTCAAGCGAGACACGCATGTGGGTATTCACGGTTCTAATTCATTATTTATACAGACAACAACACACAGATGGAGTGAAACTTGGAGTGATAAAATCGTTGAAATGCTGCTGCATCCACCCTCTGTGCTTGGCGAGGGAAAACTGGAAATAGATTATTCAGTGGAGCCTGGCATACCTAGGAAACTAATCACTACAGTCACCATGCAAAAGCATCACCTGCAACAAACTGCTGCACCTCTTTACTAAGCCTCAACTATAGGAAAAAAATCAGTTTGTCTGGGCTAATGTCTATATCTACTTGTTTTCGTATTTACAGTAGGGGCTTTTAAAAATCTGCTAAGGAATCTAGTTTTATTTTTCCCAACTATATAATTCACATTAACCATTCCTGTCTATCACAGTGTTGCAATAAACCAGCTAAAATTAGCAGACGCAGAGCTGAAAAACCAAACATTCACATTTAAGGAAAACACAGCAAATAGTGAAAACTTGAACCTTTGAAATTAGTGGAATATCAACATAGTTTTGTGCACATTTATAATGGAAACTCAACTAGTTGGTCTGGATTAAACTGAAAAGATAATGACCACAGAACTCCTAAGTTTGGCTTTGAGATGGATGGAGAGGAGCTTACATCAAACCTACAAAGCTAATATGGAGTTATAGTGGCTCATACTAGATCAAGTTAAAATAAAGTTAGATTAACACTACATAGGTGTAATTAAACACTTATCAGGTTTGAATGTATCTAACACTAATGTATAATGTCAAGTAGGGCTGCAACTAACAATTATTTTGCAAATCGATTAATCTGTTGATTATTTTTTTGATTAATTGATTAATATTCAGATAGCCAAAGGTTCCTTAAAGAAGAATTTTATTAAATTAATCCAGGTAACTAAAACTTTTTCACTTGAGGAGTTCTGGATAGAGCAGATTGACAGATGAAAATGTTTTTTTGAACCAAAATGCAAAATGTTTATATAATTTTTTTTACAGTTTTGATATAATTACTGCTCTAAGTGGGACGCTCTGTCTGCAAAAGGCATGTTTTAGAGTCTCAATACTCCAGTTAAAGATTAATCAGATTGTAGATTAGTTGACAATTATTTCAACAATCGATTAATCATGATTAATCGGAATACTTTTTTCACCCCTATTGTCCAGTACTAACACCTAACACCTGCTCACGCATTCATTCTGGTGAGCAACCTTGTAACAACAGCTGCCGTGGGGCACACTGAGAAGCTGCCGTACAGAGACGCCACTCTGACCACCATCAATAAGTGGGCACAACGACGGAGCTGGGACTCAGAATATATATATATATATATATATATAGTTGTCATTAACACATGCATTTTAAAAGATAAGAGCTCACAGAGGTTGGAAATCTAATATCAAAATCAACTCATTGTAAGAACTAATAGTTAAACGCACACTAAACAAGTGCCGAATTAAAGGTATAGTGGAGGGTTTTCATGAATTTATGAAAAGACCCGCCCTCTTCTCTTTAAAAAATAAGTACATGCACAACCTTGTACTCACTCCCTTGAGGGAATGCCTATTAAACCCGTGCGATCGCGTGCATGAGCCCATTTCTCCTCATGCACACTCTGTTTAAAATTTGCTGTTTGTATCGCTCATACAAGCTTACTTTCCAAAAGAAGATTTGCAATTTTTCCACTATGTTAGACTCACCACCGATAAGTGAAAATAGAGACGAGCACGTAGGACGGCCTTATGTAAACATATCACCAGAATGATTGACAATTGGGAGGACCACTTATTTGGATGATCCACCTGGAAATAGATTTAACGCTGTACTTTCAACATAAAACACCGACACCAGAAATTTAACACGTTAAATATCAAAACAGTTTTTTAAAAAGCTTGTTGAAGGCCAATGAGTGCAACTTGCAAACAGACATAGCACCAAATATAAGTGGTAATTTATGAACCTTTTAGAGCCTGTGTTTAATGTTGACTCTGACTGAATGAGGGGAAATTCACCATTCATTTAGGATTAAGCATCCTCTATATCCTTGTTTCTAAAAATCCAGCAGTTTTATGCTTCTAGTAGAAAATTGATAGCATTTATACCCAGGCCGACTAGCAGTGCTCTAGCAGTAAAAAGAACTGTAGTGTAACGAAATGAAGAAAACCTGAAATAAGATTTAAACAACTGAAGTAATAAAAGAAATCCCCTTTGTTTCAATGTTTGCAGTTCTAACATAGAGTCTTATTGAGTTACAATTCAAACAGCCGTAAAAAGACGATGAATCAGAGTCGATACAAAAACTTCTCACAGGGATTCGGTGTCTGAGAAGCCTATAATATACAACCTCACTGTCAACAAGAGGCCTCTCTCGGGTGTCTTAAACCTGCTGGAGCAGGAAGCTCACAGTAAACGCATTCTGGGCCTTCTCCAGCTCCAAATTGAATTTCAGGGCATGAGTTGACTCGAAACACCTAATAATCCCAACGTCACCGGCTGGCTGTCTCCAAGCTGAGCGAGGTCACAGTGTGGGAGAAGCAATGAGAAAAACAGAGCCTTTGACAAGCTTTTATCCAGTGAGGAAATACATTCCAGCTCCGGCAAGGTGAGGGAATTTATTAAAGATAAAATAAATGGTTTGAAGGAAAAAAAAAAAAAAAAAGAAAACACAAGAAAAGCCCCAGTTTTCTATTTAGAGCTGCTATGTGAGGCTGCATTCATCCCATAGATGTGCAGTAGTAAACACTTTAGAGATTATTTCAGAATGTTTGTAAAGCTGCAGCATGACTATGATTTTTCTTCACAAAGTTCTCTTCTAACTTAAAAGTTAACTTTATTCCTATTCTCTTTAACGTCCATCTATGAAGAAAAAATAATATGAAAAGCATTAAAATCACACATATTCTACAATTGTTACACTTACTATATATAAAACAGCTTAAAGATATGGTTCCTGTTTTTTTTATTCCAATCAAGCAGCCAGAAAAACACAAATTGTAAAAACTGCAGCTTAAAATTTTTCTTTACATGCAGAACAGAGTCATCATTCAACAGCATGTTATGAATGAAGTGCAAATCAGTTAAGTGTTAGCAGAGATAGATATTTGTGTTTTTTCCTTCTATCAGTATCAGGTGATGCATGCATGCATGCATTGGCCAATTCGTTAGTGCATTCAGCAGTTCCCTGCTTTAGGTATCCATCTTTAATGTTTTGTTTGATTTTAAATTAGTCTTTCACTTTTGCTTAATCTGAGACTTTTGTGACACTTATCATTTTGTAATTTTTTATCGTTTCTATAGAGGAAGAAAGAATCGGCCCAGAAATATTGGCAGCATTAGGTAAAGTGCTGTCAAAATAATCTGTATCGGGCTGAAAATATCCTGAGTCAGTCGATCTTTAGTCGCTATGCCTCATAGTCGCAAGGGTTCATGCATCGCTGCTCCCTTTATTTGCTGTCCATTGTTATTGTTTTGTTTGATTTGTTAATGAATGTTTATTTTGATTTGTGTAGATTTAGATTCATTTTGGCATTTTTATTGTAGAAATTGAGGAAGTAGAACCAAAAATCAGCCTCCCTCAAATAAGCATGTTGGGGATCGGCTAAACGGATGGAAAAATATTCAGAATAAGCTTTAAAAATCCTATATGAGTTCATTTCTAGATGTTAGGGACTGATGCTTTGATGCATTTATGGAGACAATTCTTATTTAACTTGCCTCTACCATCACTATAACCTCAAAGAATGTAAGGTTGATTTTTTTCCCCCTAAATGTGTTTGTGTAAGTCAGAAACTTCCCATGAGAACAGCATTATATGAACCCTTTACAGAATAGGACTGAATAGGATTTGAATGTTTTACCACTGGGCCACTTTGTAGCTACAAAGCTGCATAAAGTTATTTTCTGCAATAGAATTAGGACTTTTTCCTCCTCAGTCATCTATAATGCTCAGTCAGTATTAGCATGAAACCATCTGATGGTCTGTTTCTGCTCTGATTCACCTCTAATATAAATACAGTGAATTGATAGAGGGAGAAAAAGTTTGAGAATTTGATCAGAATTCACGCTGATGAGTTTATATTAGCAAACCTTCCTAAGGCAACCGGATTTCATCACCCCCTTACCTGCTACTTCGAGGCGCGCCGTGCGGCTGGAAATGGATCCCAGGTTCTCGATGGTTGCCACGCACTGGTAGGTGCCCTCATCGGGCTTGTTGTGCTTCGAGTGGACGACGTGCGTGAAGAACAGCGAGCCGTCCGGGAGGATGCGCCGCCTCTCGTCTGAAACCAGGCTCATGAAGGTGCCGTCCTTCTTCCACTCGATGCGCGCCGGCGTGTCCTCGTCGCTGTGTGCCGAGCAGTTGAGCAGCGCCGAGTTCCCCCGGATGGCCAGCGTGTCCTGGGGCTCCACCGTGAACCTGAAGGGGACGAAGGGCTGGGCTGCTGAGCCTGGAGGAAAAGAGAGGAAGAGGAGTTTTTAAAAGGACAAAACAGGAAGTAAACATTTCATGACATAGTGGCTGGATAAAAGGTTGTTCTGATTATTCGCTGGTTGATACCGATTTCTGATTTACTGCAAGATCTGACTTCAGAGAAGAGGAAATAGACTAATTATGTTTTTTTTTGTTTTACCTCCAAGAACTATCACATAAACACTTTTTAAAAACAAAAGGTTATTTTCTAGAAGTTTTAAAAGGACTCTAAACATAAGAGGTTTTAACTTTTTTTTTTACATTCATTGGATAAAGAAAAACATATACTGAAGTATTTAACTATATTTGAGTAGTGATCCCAGATCTGAGGTAAATGAGGGAAAGTTGTCTGATCGACTGCTGTATCTCTGCTTAAAATCTTATAATAGCCAATTTAAATTTCCCCAACCTTCCTGCCACTGAATAAGATGTTTAAAAAGCTCCAACATGTCCACTTTATGACAGAACCCCCAAAAAGTAAAGAGCGCCAACTCTAAAAAACTCTTATTTCCAGTCTGAACCAAAACACATTAAAACCCAAAACGTCATCGACTCCAACCGGATATTTTGGAGCGCACTCTGGAAATAAATCAGTATTTCTGGACTCTAAATGATCCGAGCACTCAACCAAATGTTCCCGAAGCAAAACATAATTTTGCTCATTGCATCTTTTAGGCAGTGAAGTCTGTTCCATCCCAGAGCCTCCGTGAGGCTTTTTATTATGGAAACCACAAGCCCCAGTGGAATCTGGTAAAAGGAGCTGACAAATTTAACCCAGGCGAGCCTTCCTGGCAAGTTAATGTCACGTCTTGCTTTATTATAAGTACAGAGTAGAGCGACGGGGTAAACACTCTCAATCGTGCTCACAATTTCTCCCCCCCCAGCATAAATGGAAACACCGCACCAAAGCGGATCGCACCAAAGACACAGGAAGTGCAATTCCTTTGCATTTGTCCTCATCCATTATTCAAGCTCTCCCACCCTAAAAGTCCCCCTAAAGTGGTATTGTTTAGATAAATAACACCAATTATCAGTTCTGCAGAGACTGGGTGGAGCTGGGAAAAAAAAAAAAAAACATTACAAGGTTTATGAAGATATTTTAATAATGCAAAGCATGGAGTGTAATAGGTGGCTCAGTGTTTAAGGCAGTTAAAAATACGCCTTCACTTCTCTAAGAAAATGTCACGTCTCCGAGGGGGAAGAGAAACCAGGAGGAGTGTGAAAGCGATGAGCAATACTAAGGCAATTGTTCGCCTTTCAAGCGACTCGTGATCATTTCCCTACATTGAGTCCCTGGTGTGGGATCTAGAGAGAGGGGGGGGATAATGCACAGACCGTTACCGTGACGATATGGTATGAAAGTGGACGGAAAATTATTTTCTTTTTATCACCCACACTTGATCTACAGGTGAATTTCTATTAGAAAAAAATAAAAAAGGACTTCTATTTTAGCAGCTTAATCTCAGGCTCATATAGATTCTTAAACAGAGATTTCAGGTGGATATTCGGGTTAATTTTAAAGATATAAAAGTCGATAAGAAGCGCTATATATTTTATTTATTTCCCTAAACTTTTGACACCCCCACAACCCTCTACTGTCTCACTGTTACATGCCCCAAATCTGCTCATATTGCTCCATTGTATTTATCCAAAGTTAACATGGCTGTCTAATGGAGCATTTTACAGCTGCTGATTTCATTTTCTAGTAGAACATGCTGAATTCCATTTAATTACCAAAAAAGGTTTAATAACCAAAGATGTTACTGTGCCTGATAGGGCTGGGTAAAAAAAAATCGATTTAATGGATTTTAAATCGATTCCTTTACATTTTTGCAAAATGGATGTGTAGGGTATGAGATCGATTAGTTTTATAGTGACGCGCGTGACGTTCACATTCAAATGAGCAGGCGTGTGCAAATGCCGACCCAAGTAACACACCCCTCAGCAAGCCGTCCCAACTGAAGTCTGGAACCATTTTGGATTTAAAACAGCTAAAGATAATGTGCTGGATATGTGAAATTATGCTGACTTCCCACTACATTGATAACGAGTGGCGCCTAGCATCTCATGCTATGAGATGCGAGGATTATTCAAGCCAGACAGCTGCAAATATAGCCAATAGGTTGAGTGAAGACATTAACAAATGGGGGCTGACCAGCAAACAAAAATAAAATACATAAGCATTTTGAAACACAGTTGAAAAACTTTCATTATTGTAAAAACAGATTGAATCGAAATTAATCAATTTAGAACTCTATGAATCAAAATCGAATGGATTCAGGACTTTGGTGAAATTACCCTGCCCTATTGCCTGATTGGTCATCAAACCCTCCTGAGCTACAGTGTGTTGTTCTGCTTTTCTGCCTCAACAAATCTGACCTTAATAAATAGGTGATTGACAGAACTCTGCAGCTCTTGGTGTTTGCTACAATCATTTAATAAAGGCCTGATGGAATGGTCACACATTTAAAACACGCAGGAAAATGGAACCTGAGGGCCTGAATTTAAGACCTTTTTGTCACTACCCAGTCTGTTCAATCAGCTAATTTGAGCATATGCAAACAGAGATTCATCCAGGTCATCATAGATAATGTAATTATGGTACCAAAAGTACTAACTTCTATCCTTAATTCACTAAAGAATACTAATACAAATATAAAAAAAAAATTTATGACTTTTTTGAGACAATTTTGATGCTCGACAGCTTCTCTGACATCATTGTTGGTCCGGCAAAATATGATTAAACCATGTTTATCTGCATTTGACTTGTTTCTTTCTTTAGATTATGCACTATATACCACAATGTTAACACAAAAGGAAATCATCACACTGAAAAAGACTAGATTTATGTTTAAATCCAAAGCCAAAAAATTAGCTCCTGGAAATAGCGTAGGATCGCACTTCCTGTACTGATTGGCCACAGATGAGGATTTAAATTCATTTATTTTCTCATTAAATACATTATTAACCTTTAACATATATTTAAGCATGTTTTATAAGGAGGGAAAAACGTTATTTAGGTATTTTTAGCAAATTAAAATCGATGGCGATCTGGATGTATATCTGGTTGCGCATGTGGAAATGAGCCGATGGTACGGATCGTGCTACCGGTTTGTATCTGGTATTAAAACCTCTGCTTCACCACATTATCAAGTGGAAGATAAGAGAAATCAGAGCCAATAAGCCGAGCTTTTGTAATGAATCTACAGGATAAACAGGTTTACTGGATTAAATGATAATTTCCAACCCTTTTCTGATTTACTGAGAAGCTCCTGCATTACCATTTTACTTTTGCAGGAGAAGCGAAATTTCAGCCAGGGTTACTTTATTAAATCTGCTCATGCAATAAATGTGGATGCAGAGCAGCAAAGATTGTAGTTCAGCACGCCCAGGAGTAGCTCAACATATATTTAGCTGCAGCTCCCTGCAGTAATTGAGCAGTTTTAAATTATAATGAGGCAAGCAGCTGATTCCAGGAGATCAATAGACCCGGAGCAGGCGCTCCTCTGTACACACAGAGCTAGGAATGTATTATAGTGATGGCGAGCCTAGCAGATGGAGATAGACTCTAGCAACAGCGAGAGGGGTTCTTCACTTGTGCAAACCAGAGGGAGGGTGGCATCCTTCATCATCTCTGCTTCATGCTGCGGAGGCTGTGGGTGTGTTAGATGGGAAGAGCCTCTCCGCCCACGCTTGGCTCTTTTTCACAGTCTGGAAGGAAACTTAAAGGCCTCCAAGTTTCCTGCAGTACCCCAGTTTCTTACACACTGATCATGTCAAAGTTATATACTTTACCGCACTCCAGTTTACAGAGTTTGTTGTTGAATTATTTTAAATTTTAAAATATTTGCAACATATTTTCAAATGAATTTCACCCCAAATTTTACTGACAGATTAAAGGACGAGCAGCTAAATTAGTTTGAAACTTTCCCAGACTGCATTAAACAGGTGCAACCCGGACCATTCAACCAGAGGGGAAATAACCACCTTTAACTCCCTTTTATACTCATCATAAAACCACCGACTGAGCTTTACCTCGACTTTTGGACGGAAACAGAAAACACTGGACTCCAATTTGCAGACAAAACATCCACTGTCATGAGATCAGGGCAGTAAAACGCAGGAGTGAGGAAAGGATAATGGCAGGCTACCTGCTTTCGCACAACATCCCCATTATCTCCCTCTTAGATCTATTTCCCACAAAAATGTTATCAATTTCACAAACCAGAGACAGAAGACAAACACGCCGACACACAGGAACCCCAAACTGTGAATGTTGTCAGGAGTGATCGAAGTCCAGATGTCTAAACATGGGAAGTTTAATCAATGATGGACCCACAACTCAAAGACTGAACAAATATTTTGTTGAAATATTTCATCAGCTGGGAGAAAAAAAAAAAAAAAACACTAAACAGAACCTCCCCAAATATCTCCAGCAGGAAACCAAAGGAAACCTACTCAATAAAATTATGTCTTCTTTTACGCTGCTTCAAATTATTTAGAGAGAAAAAATAATATCAAGTTTAGATTTCCCCTTTCTCTTCAACTTTAACCGAACGCAGTTTCATTAAGGCCAGGGGAAGCCTGAGCCTTTGGCTAATTTCAAAAGGTTAACTAGCCTGAACTGTCACTCTGCCACAAGGCTGAAGACGGCTAAATGAGCCAGAACGGGCCAACATCACAATGGGAGAGCGGCTCGTCTTTGACTGACAGCATTATTGTGATAGACTTAAGTTAGAGTTCAACTTTTATCTCAATGTGAGGAAAAAAGTTAGGCTTCTGCTACTAACGACGTTCGGAATTGTGGGTCTTGAAAACGTATTCCTAATGAACACCTAGAGAAGAAATGAGTGACAGCTCAAACGGGGCGGAGGCTCACGTACATCTAAAAGCAGAAGGAAAATCAACATCTGCAGCAGAAGACGGAAGAAAACATAAAACCAGTTTAAACTTAAAGATATGTGCCGTTCTGGGTGG